TAGTAAAACCTTCTTTTCGTGAAGACCTGCTTTTGGCTCTACAGACGTCTTTTCTCATGGGCAGTCCAGTGACTCTTACGTGTATGGTTCACATAAAGAACCCAGCTCTCGTCTTCAGCTATATCTTCCAAAAAGTCCTTCCGATGCTGACGAAGCAGGAGAGACTCAGCGACCATGATTCGGTTGCTCTTGTCGGACTGACTCAGTTCATGTGGTACCAATCGCGAGAAAATATCACGATAACCGATATCATGAAGATTCTTGAGAACCGTTGTATGGGTGCACCCCAACGTTGTCGCCAACTCACGGCTTGTTGCATTCGGCTGCGACTTCAAAGCGTTGAGTAAGAGCATCTCATCCCATCCCGATGGCCGACTAAGACGCTGCTTATCTTCGAACGAAATATCTCCAGCTGCGAATCGCCCATACCAGCGAGACACTGTGGAATGGTGAATGACATCCTTCTTGAGTGCAGTAGAGATATTAGCCGCAGCAGCTTTAGCAAGGTGCCCTGCACGAACTCGTAATAGACAATATGTCGAAGAATGGCTTTATTTATTAGGGAGGTAAATGGATCAAAAGGACGCGCTAGGTCCCTTTTCACCCTATTACGAAATCCTCAGGACACCCTACAATGTTCAGGCGCCAAAACATTCGAAAATATTTTGACCTCACCATTAAAAGGGTTGTTTAAAGTGTCGCAAGACTTTCTTTCCAACCTAATACATACAAGTAATGATCGACAAGTCAATGCTCGAGAACAACTGGCAAGGGAGGGAAGGGGAGGATCTTGTGTCATTTATAACACACACACATACTGCCTCTTTAATGAAGATGGACGATAGAACGTTATGAGACGATCACTCCTTCCTGAGCACGCCACGCATTCTAGTCTCATTCGCAATTGTCCCATTTGAATTCAACTTCGCCTATGCATTGAGGGGGGCAGCCGGTACAAGGCAGCGCTTTTATCATCTCGATTTGGACGCTAGTCGACCACTAGAGGGATGGAAGGCTCTGTTGACGTGGGCATATTGATCTGGAATTCAACCGCTTACGTACTCTGAAATAGCCTCACTATGACCTTCTACGTACAGGCTCGCCCGTCACTAAACAAGTGGACAAATATTTCAACGGACGAAACAGCTTCTCAAGCATGACAAGTGGTGAGAACGCAACCCGCATGACGAATCCAGTGGGAGCTCTCCAGCAAGAGCTGTTCCGGTTCACGGTACCTCCAACTTCAATAAAGAAAATCCAACCGTGTACTACGACTGTAAATTTGTGAGAACTAAACCATTCTTGCCTATGACTGCAAATCGTTTTCTCTGGATTCACCATTACATAGATCGATTGCTGGTAATTATTATCGTAGTAAAAGGGCTGTTGATGATAAAAGTTGATCACGAGATTTGCTTTTGAGCTTTCCAGGCTTTCAGGTTCGGCTTAGTCAAATATTTGCATCTCGTTTTTATTTTTGTTTTTAAATCTTCTAAATTCTGTTGAATTTCCGCTGAAATGCTATTCAAGAAAATTTTTGAGGCCATCTCTATTTGACTTGATCGTAAAATGATCGTAAATTGTTCTACTCTCTACATACTGTTTTGTATAGATGTACAATTATTTCTGTGTATTGCATTCTGCTTTGATTTTGAAAAATTGGTCAATTTCGTCTACAGCTCATTATTCGATATCACTGATGACGATGTGATTATCAAACTTTAGTGTATGATCGTGCCATTTCTGTCCTCTGTTAAGTTTCTGTCCGTTGTTATGACACTGTTCTTTCAATTCTCATAGCCAATATAAAGTTTTAACAAGGTCCGCATTGGAATTCCGGAGGAATCAAAGAAGCTCGGTTTCCTTAAACTTTCCTAACATGAACGAAATGCTCTAGGAAGAAGTTGTATAGAGATTTTGCGGAATTCAAAAAATTCATATTGGTTCACGTAGACGTTCTAAGCTCAACAACAGGGAGAGGTCTGAACATCAGGGTCAACCGTTACGTTTAGACCGACCATTGGCAGCGCGACGTTGGACCCGAGTTGAACCGGCTCTCCGCAAAACCGGCATCCCGCACTCGCCTTGCGCGAGGCCGTTTTTCTTCTCCCTGCGTACGTTCACATCTCGGCATTTCTCACCTCTAGAGGAGACGAAAATTCAAGAAAAACTAGCTCAATCTTTCAGAAGAAGAGCTGCTGAAATTAAGATAGCAGCGTTCTTCGGATGAATTACCTATGTATAATAGAGCTTAGCGTTCTACCAGGCAGTAAAGAAACAAGGCAGGATTCGAGGAAGGCACAGACGCTCCAATTGCTCAATACCTTCCAGAACCCTCTTTTTATACTCTTTTGCTAGGATGTATTTTCTGAAGAGTGCCCCCCCCCCCCCCCCCCCCTTTACAGCAATCAAAAGCCAAATGCGTTTTGGAGATTGAGTTGTAGATCTCTTTTTAAAAATTTCATCTCAAAGGGTAGCACTAATTACAATTCGTAGCCAAAACTGTACGCCAACAATTAACATTTTTGGTTTAGCCCATAGGAAAAGTGCAGGCTGAATCAGTGAACAAGCACACAAGTTAGCTTCAGGCACCATCCGAGTATCAACAAGCTGCGTGAGGTCTGAAGCCTACACCTCTCGACTGAAACTAAGTAGACAGACATGTGGCTAGAGAAGGCTATGATCACGCAGTGTAAGACGAGCCAGAGATCTTCCAGAAGTCACGACCACACAAGCTGGGCGAAGCCTTGTAAGGACAAGCTATGAGCATGCTCTAAGTAATTTGTGATTCTGAAGTTTGCCCCTTCAATTGTATTTACAAGGGTTTATATGTATGTGAGAAGTACAGGATATAACTGCGGAACAAATATGCGAAGGGACAATGCGTGGATGCAGCTCTGCTCCAGAAAAGAGCTAGCAACCCACCCTTTTCTCCGGGTCTTCTCGCCTGTTTCGTTAGCATAGCACTGGAAGCTAATTAAAGAAAAGATGTAGTGGCCGTGATGGACATCCTGCGCACATGGTATAACTACACATGCCGCGAAGAGAAAACTTCAGAGCCAACCTGCATCCCTAATCTGCTCTACCCATCACCTTGCCAAGCCTCCCTCCAACATGATTGCCGTCTGTCGCATTTCGTTAAGTCATTCCGGAGGGCAAGGAATTACTTGTTTATCGCTCGTCGAAGAAACTGGAAATGGACATTGGACATCTGTCTTTTTAAAACTAGCCGACTTCTGAGAGGCTCATACTACACCTGGTGTGCAAAACTTAAGGACGAGATAGATAAGGTGGTCCTAACTTATTAACAATTAGATGGAAATCGCGATGAAACGGTACGGACATAATTGCTAGAAGACCCTCACGGATGCATGGCAGCCGAAGTGGGCCTCACTATGTTCCCTGCAATCCGCTTACATCTGCAGGGCCTGAATGGGTGGCCAGCCCAGAACGTTGGGTATCGGGGGGCAGGACGGAGGCGTGCAAAGCGGCGGGAGAAGGACTGTGGAATGTGGTGGTGTTCTTGATTACATCAAGTTCTCAGAGAGCAACTACTAGGGTGACTTTACGCGAGGAAATATCATTGCGGAAACTGAAAAAGGAAGTTGTGTCCAGAGTTTTGTAGTCAACCACAGCATTGTTTTTTGTGCATGAGCAGGCAATGTGACCGCAGGCCACTGCTGTCCGCAAGAGAGAGGTTGGCGTCATCGAACACGCGCAGCGGCAGAGTGAATTGCTAGGTTTTGCTGCCAGGCAACAAATGGACCGCACGGTCATCTCATGCTGCAGTTGCAAACATTTATGGGACTGTAAGCCGCATGGTAATCCCAGTCCGGACACGGCGCAGTGGGACCGTATAGAGTGATCTCTCTCATGCGACAACAATACTGTACTCATTGAATGGCACGTCGTTGGTGGACATTTGGTACGAGCCGAGACATGGAGATGGAACCAGCGATTAGAAAATCCGTATTCTTCCGGTCAAGAGCAACTGAAGGTGAGTATGATTCTTGACTTACCCTGCATATGGGGAAAATGGAACGTGTTATCTACCAGGACATCGTTAACAATGATTGTTTGGAGTGCATGCGACATGCTGTGGGGAGGCATAAAAGTTGTCGGAGCGTAGTGATCCGCAATCAGATTGATCGGTTACGACTTCTGATCAACTGGTGCTTGCGTGTTGTACCGCTTTATCTTTGTGCATCTTCGAAAGGGTTCCCTTGGCCCTCAGCTTCCAATCGTATGGAGTCGAGTGTGCGGAAGTATGAGCAGCCTGAGTTGGGAAAACTCTTGAAATGTGAGCATTTTCGGTACATTGGTGAAGCCAATTTATTTCCATCCAGTCTAATTCTAATGAGCACGCTGTGCGGCATTCAAATGAGCTTTGTAGTGCACATGACCATGTGCCAACAATAGTCCTGACTGCGTTACAAATGCGGTCTCCAAGGGAATCGGTTACTTTCCTCAAGAACTCTTAAGCTAATGCTTACGGCTGTATGGAAACCGTAGCAGAGCATACCTTGCAGGTCGTAGTGTTTATACACACCATCAGAACCACTACGCCTCTCTTTTGAATGTCTTACCATGAGTTGGGAGAAGGCCCTTCACCTTATGACCGCTTCTGAAAGGTATTTGCAGAAAAATGTCTTTTTCAATCGAGAGACCGTTGGCGCTTTTCTGTTAGTAATCTCTGCGCTGTACCGAAACATTTCCTCCTATGTGCCAGACTTGTCCACCTAGGTAACTAGCAGTGAGATATCATGTGAAAGTTCTTCCGTCCTAAAGTTTTGCACACCAGTGTAGCTCTTGCCGACCAATGGCAGACAGTTGTGAGTATTGCGGATGTAATTGTTCGGGAAGTAAAGTTGAGTGGAAAAAAAGATGAGCTTCCATGTGGGTCAAATCCATACTTCTTTACTCGCCTAAGAGATCACTTTCGCCGTTAAAAAGCTTATACACTTACACAGCGAAAGTATCGGAATGAAACCAGGTTCACGCACCGCTATGGACCGCCAACAAGGAGGCGCTTAGGTGGATCGTACAAATGTGAAAATCGTTCAGACGTGACTGCTTCGTTTACCGGACTACTTGATTTTTCCTCAATGGTTCCTGCCGCGATGGCTAGAAGCACAGACAATTAGAGAATCCCTAGTCTAAGCCTTGGAGCAAAGAGAATCCGCTACAGAGTGCAGAAGCGGTAACGGGCTGAGTTTCAGGTGGTCCAACCTGAACTTTCAGCTCTGTTTAAGCGATTGGCAACGCATGGACCAAAATGCACTCCCCCCTCACGTTCATCCCCTCCAGAGGTGAATATAGGCTTGAGGATTCCTCAACGGCACGTCGAGGACTCTCTGCTCGTCTAGACGTATCTCTCGTGGGACATTACACTCGCCGTGGGCGTGCCGTCTGTGTTCTCCGCGCTTATGTTCACTCTCTGCACTACTCTCACATGGTAGAGAACTACGGTCGAGGTGATCCTCGACGTTATTCACTAGATCACCCTCAGTGCTGTGTGAGCAGCGGGGTCGTCACAAAAAGACATTCCTTCATTTTTTAACTCGGAATTTGAAAAATATTTCCCAAGAACAAAACTGAACGCTCTGAACTTAGTGACCGGGAAGAACGCATAACACTCCATAAACCTTATAAATAGCCTCGACCAACATCAGAAAAACCATGCTACCATGTGGGTGCACAGGGCGAGGGAGTCGGTCTCATAGGTCCTTTACAAATTGTGACTCATTACGACGTGTGATGTGAATGCGACAATAAGAGGCTGTTGCTAGTCACAAATTAAATAATCTTCAAAGAAACTATCCACCATTAGATCGATTTAAGAAATTATGTAAGCGGCTTAAGGCTGCACATTAGATTCCTTGGATCCGAACGGTGATGGAAAGATGACGTTGGCATTCTGAAAACGTTGAGGGGGGCAATGGAGGGCACATTTCAAATATAACAGGACATTTCAGGAACTTTCTGTTGTAAATTTTCGTCAGCGCCGGCAAACTGTAGGATGAAAAAAACGATGATGTGCGGCATGCCTTTTTTTGCACTCCGCCGTAGACGTGCTTTAGGTAAAACTGGTGATGAGCCGAAGAAGCTCCCATGTGAAGCCAGCCTCCGGCATTCATTTCTGAAGATAAGCCAGAGAGATTCCATCAATGGTGGTCTATTTACACAATACGCATTTTCCCAAACAGTGGTTTAAACCTTTAAAGATTGGTCGCCAATATAGTAAACACACATAAGATAGCAAATGTGAAGTTATTGAGAAATGAAAGAGAATACATTGAAAGAAAGACTTCCCGGAACCAGGTGTCAGATTCTGGAAGCTCAAATGCATACTTATGCATACAAATGCATACTTAGAACATCAAGTGAAAGCGAACAAGCTAACAACAAAAAGCGGTGATGCATATGCACTCACACTAATATTTAACAGCATGCAGCTCACACAAACGATAGTTATCGATTGTGTGTAAACAAGAATGAGAGCAGCTACAGCTATAAAGATATGAATTGTTTTTGCATCCACCATCGCAGAAGAAAAGAGATCTAAGAAGAAAATCTGCTTGAACGCGTATTTACAACCTGGCTTGCATAGAAGTATTGTGTTGTCTCATAATTCCTGTCTCAAATTCGAAACTTTTGTTTATACAAGTTTTATCTCGAACAAAAACATCAATAGCACAACTACCATCATCGTCACTGATATGCGTGCATTTGCTAGGGAACGTTTGGAAGCTATCCGCCCAGAATGAGTCAAGCTGGAAGTTGAAGAATTCGAAGAGGTTGTTTTTGGCGTGATCGCAACCTGTAACTTTCTTTTCTGGCAGATGCTGATTCAGGGCGCAGGGGAGGCGATAGTCCGATAGAGCGATGCCAGTGTTATATGATGGATGAGGTATGGTAGCCCTGGCTATCTCCCTTAAAACGTGGCGAATTGGCATTGTAATGTGAAGTCGGGCGTTCTTTTGGAGGAAGGAGATTATAAGACGTTTCTGACGATTCCTTGGCAATACCGAAGCCAGCCTAGAGGGCCATTCCACGTTGACTTTTGCAATGCTTGTCTTCATACATTGGAGTGGTCCCTAACCAGGTCATTCAGCGAATCCAAAAAACCGAGGTGATATTCCCAGAATACGAGGTTCGGGCTTTATTTGAGGTGGTGCCTCCTGGCTAGATACCAGACGTGCCGCATGTTGTTGTCGCAGTGGACTCGTGACTCATCTCCACTGTTGACCGGTTAGGGAAGGCTCTGCTTTTGCCGACAGATGGAATTTGCCCCAGACAGTCAGGCGTGCTTCTCTCTCATGGGGGTCGGACCATAAGGTTTCTATCATGAATTTATTCTGCAGCAGTCCTTTCCATACTGATGGGGTGTGCTGGTGCATCGACTGCGCCCAGGTATTTGCTACCATACCCTGGCAGCAACGTTCAGAGCCACTCCCAATTTATGGGGCAAGGGGCCCTCATCACAAGTGACCGCAGGCCCAGTATGAGGTTAGTCTTCACAGTTCGGTTCGTCTTTGCCATTGCGATTGGACCACTAGCTCACTCAGTACCCTATCAGTAGCAGGGACTGGGCCACACACAACCACTGATACTCTCTACTGTTCCCCTTGCAATAGGGTTTATTTGAGGATCGTAGAGCAAAATAATTAATTATTGACACTGACCTATTTTATTCCTACTTCATTGAAGCGTTAGGGCTTACTCTTGCGAAACCATGCTGTTAAGGCTCTTGAAGCACACTTCAACATATTACCGCATTTTGCAATGAAACGGTCTTAGACGGAAGAAATTTGAAATTGTTAGGAATGAGACAAGAATTATGAAACAACCCAATAGTTTCACTACCTCAAGAAGTACGTGTGGAGCTGTTCTAGTACGTTATATAATAGTACTAGAAAACACTATGATGAATCAAAAGAATGCGCTGAATAACACGACGCTGGAATATCACAAAGCAGTTGTTAACGGTGTTGATTCCACCATATTCCATTTCGTGGAATGCCGCCTTGTGCTGACTTCCGTATCCTCTCTGGTATCCTGCCATTTATTAAAGAACTTTAGCAGATGCATTCGATAAATACGCTGCGTCCAAATCGTGATCAATGGATTGATCACCATTCCTACAACCAAGATACGGAAGAAAGCGTCCGTCAGTTGATGTACCATTTCTGATCGGCATGGAGCACCTGAAACTCTCGTATAAACTAGTATATGTTGGAGTTCCAGGAAGGAGATCATCCCTACTATTTAACGACGACCACCGCTATGCGCGCACTGCTTAAACGTTTTCCATATTCTCTCATCAATAGGCATTAATCCTTCAGCGTTTTCATTATCAGTAATGAGAAAAATGTTTTTCGGATCCAATAATGTACATGGACCGTTGTGGAACAGAAAGAAACGCCAAATAAATCAAGAAAAACTAGTCAGCTCCATGTGAAAGTGTGGTACGACATCATACCACACGGCCGTCAGCGTGCTAAAGAGGCTCGTGCTCGAAGAAACGAAGTGTGAGATTCTCGCGGTACAGAGCGAGACGGTAAGGACCTAGCAAGATCCCGCCAGTGGAAAAGACCACAGTCGTACAGTCCCAAGCGGATAGCTGGTACAGGTACGTGTTGGAGGATAATAGTGCTATAGTCGCTCCCTATCGAATCTACAAAGCATTCATATTTGAGAGGCCATATCATCTAATAGTTCCTACTTAGTTCCGATCCAATGCCAGTCAAGGTTTTTTGCTTTCACGATGCCCACTATCAGAGCATAAACTCTGCTTTTGCCGCTACCTCATTCGAGGGGGAAAGGAGCTGAGGGTACTAACAAGGAGTTGAGGGTACCACTTCGCGATTATGGATCGTTCCACCTCGATTTGCATTTCATCACGTTGTCTCCTAGCTCCTCTGCTTTCCTTTCCAATGGGCTACCGTTTTATTGGATCGGCTGTTTTTAGAGGCACGGGTTGCGACTGGATCCTGAGAGAAATTCATTTCTTGAGTAAGGTATGGGACCTCTAAATGAAGGTGTGTGCTATCTCCACTAGAAAGACAAGGGGTCTTATGCGTTTGCTCAACCAGTGCGACATTTGGAGTTCTTATTTTCTTCTCATTTGGAGATGTCGGTCAGACTCTGCGATTGCATCTCGCGATGCAATCACTCTAGGCAGAGCGACTGCATCGCACGATGCAATCGCGATGCATCTGCCAAAAGTGCAAGATCGATACCGATGTCGACTGCATCGATGTGAGCGGGGCCAATCGCCCGTCGCTTGTGCACATTGCAGGAGCGACTGCATCGCGCGATGCAATTGCAGAGTCTGACCGACATCTTAGCGAAAGTAGCATATATTGCGTTTGCGTGCGTTCTCTCTTGCGTTCACTGTGTCGTTCCGTCGTCCCATGGTCGCACTCACAAAGAAAGCCTCAGTGTTTTCTATTGTGCTTTATAATTTCTACCCCACTGCCGTTCCTCTTCACACTTCTTGTCTGATTCAAGAACACTGTTTGATACCTCCCTCCCCCCCTCACCCCCGTCTTCAAACAATGCAAATCATGAGAATGCGCATTTCCCGTGGACGTCAGTTTTCAGAGGAATCAGTCGCGATAGACTTCTTTGCCTCCCAAAAGTTTCTTGATATGCTAAACTTTTCCAAGGGAGCCAGTGAATGTTGTGTCCGACGCAAAATATCATTCAAAATACCATTTATAAAAAAGTATAGAAAAAACTCACACAAAAAATTCAATAAGTAAAGAATTCGATAGGGCAGGCACGTGAAGAATGTCCATAATGTACTCGAAAACAAGAAAAAGAGACGATGGAAGAGTTTCTGAACGATTTCACTCGAATATATGTTCCATGAGTTACTATATTAACTAATTAACATTTATGGCGAATTTCGGCGCACGCAAACGCTAAAAACTAATGGAATGCGGGGTTAGGAAGAAACACAAAGATTAAGTTTTAGTAAAATGTTGGGTTGTGAACGATATTTTCGCTTTAGGCACTACTCGAACTAGCACCTCTCGTTTACCGAGCGTGCCCGCAACAAGTTACGCAGGGCACCGTTTCGCGCTAACACCTGAGCTTAATGCAGCAGTTTTGTTCATACCTCCTTAAGGAACATTCGGACTGCGTCGTTAAAACAATAGATATTGATAAAGCAAATATATGGCTCAGATGAATCTGTCACATAATTACCACTCTTGATTACACGAATACTCATTACTTTTTGCTTCGAGGACTGATTTCCATTCAGATTCTTGAATGCGTGCAGCTGTAGGCTGAGGTTAGTCCCTGTTCTGAGAGAGTCAGCCATTCGCAAATCTGTGAGATTTTCCCTAAAGTCACACCAATTGTCAGATGAAATCCGCAGCCGCTTGATATCTGATGTGATCGCAGGTCGACGGGCCACTGCTCTTCACCGCTTGTGTTCAACTCTTGCCGTCATTAGTGTTTTTACCATTGCCCCTCACGACTACAAGCTTTCGAATTGGTTCTCTTTTTTCTTGCATATATTAGGGTGTACCAAAAGTTTTGCAAAAATTCAGTCGGTTTGTTCAACATAAAATTACTACAACAAAAACGTGAGATCAATAATCAACATAGTAGCCCTCTTTAGCTACGACCTCCCTCCTCTCCTCCCTCGAATAGGCAGAGCACTGATGCACCTCTTCAGAAAGAAGATCCATTCATCAACTGCAGGCTTCATCTCCTGACGGTTGTTTAATTTTTCCCTTTGGTGTAGGCCTGTAGGCTTCCTAAAGCATGGTAGTCGCACGGGCTAAGGCCAGGTGAATATGGAGGATGGGGTAGCCAGGTGATACCAAGCTGTTCCGGCTCCTCCGTCGCCGTCCTCGGGTGGTGTGGCCGAGCATTGTCCATGACCATGAGAAACTCTCTTGTAGTTATTGTATAATGGCGGCTCCGCACACCATCTCTCGCAGTTGTTCACAGAATACTCTTGTCGTCGCAGCAGTACCCTCGGGTAGCATCTCATAGTATACGCAGCCGGTAGAGCGAAAGAAAAATGAGATCACCGCCGTCTCGGCCTAGACACCTCGCTTTGAACTAGGTTGCGGCTGTAGGCCCACTGGTAGCCGTTGCAGCTTCCTGTGTGGATTTTCATATGATATCCACTTTTCATCCTGAGCGATAATGAAGTCCGTCTATGTCGTCGTTAGCTTACGGTCGAAAATTTCTGGCAGACATCGACTCAACCTCGACGCTTGTGTTCAGTTAGGGAGTGAGATACAACTCCAGGGAGTGCTTCGCGAGCGCGATTTCTGCGCAGAATCCCGTGAATGATGGAGCAGGAGTAGAAGTCATCCTCTCTTTTCCTCTCAACATTTGAGAGGGATTGCTCCGTGCAGAGGCCGGAATAGTACCGGTATTGCAGGGAACTGGACGCCCACTGCGAAGAGCTTTGTCGAGGGAAACCTTCCTCCTATTGAAGCGACTGACCACTTACTGCTTGTCAATTCAAAGGACCCACCGTTGCCTATCGTTCACCATAATTAGTTTTGGGCTCGAGCGGGAGAACGTCAAGAACTGTAACACTTGAACAGAAGCCATTGGTAAGAATGTTGGTTGCACACTGTTCAATCAAAACTAATTTTCCACCAATGACGAAGTATGGTAGCATTCAGGTGCGAGCACGATCCCCCAATCTTGCCCTTTCACCACTCATCTGTTATATCGATCTGCTTTGGCGGATTCGCGCGCAACATGGTTGCGAAATTTTTTACCAAAATTTTTTCAAAACTTTTGGGACACCCTAATATTTTGGGAAATTGCAGATGTAATGTAGTGTTTGGTGTTGTTTTGTGTTTGTTACCTTTAGCAAATAACAATAATGCTCCTTGGTTTTATTTGCCCTCAGGTTCGTTGTGATTAAATACTATATTGGTCGAGCATCGAATAAATTGTCGTTTCCATGACCTGTGCTGGTTCGAGCTCTACTTAGTAGACTATCTGCTCCAGCCAATATCGCCAATTACATGCCCCAGGAAGCTCGAATCAAGATGAAATTCAAGTACAGCGGCAACCTCTCACGGTCCCACTAGTACTGGGCGCACTTGAATCCGTGAACAGCTGACAAAAAGTGACACACCCAGAGTCAAGCCTGCGTTGCGCAGTTCGCAACGGCACGTTGAGAGATCCTCAACGCACGCTGTATGGGCGGAGACACAGACGGCTCGAGCATGCGAGTGTGAATGTTCGTGCGAGAGAACGTGTCTAATCGGGCAAAACTGCGCAACGTGGCCGTTGAAAGCTGCGCAACGCAGGGTTGACTCTGGACACACCCCTCAGAGTCGCTAGGGAGTTGTCCGTGCAGTTCGAAGTGATCGCACAATCGCACAAGTCAATGAAAGCAGAAATTCACTTGTAACAACCGTGCATTCATTTCGGTGGTTCGCCCACGGATGTTGATTGTCTCGCATTTTTCTAGCACCGATACCTTCCTCTCGGGTCCACATTCTACCTTTAATAGTGAAGTCATTGCCTTGTCTTTCAAGCTATTACATGCCAAGTGGAGTAGGAAGGCTTCAACGTCTTTTCTCAACCAAGTGATCTTCAACGCGTACCCCTAACATCCTGCCTGTTTCACTGAGTTGGTACAGTTGCGCGAAACTCTGAAATCTCGAAGACATGACGATTTTCCAACTGTTTTTCGTATCAGAGAGGGTTTGCAGCCATACGGCAGCGCATAACATGAACGGATGTAGCTAACGATAGTTTTGGTTACCATGCTACAAAGCAGTATCAAATATCAGCTGATAGGCAATACGATCGTACATGCATGACGGAGAACTGCGTCGTTTGTCCGAAGAGAAGGTATGGAAATTGCGTTTTGAGAGAGGAACTGTTTATCAACGTCAGTATTTGACCTGTGGTCAAGTATATACTGGTGAAACACTCCCAACTTCATGAACCAGATGACCCCCCCCCCAACCGTTAAAACTGGCCAGATCACTGGTTGCTGCTTCTTACTACTCACGTTGGCGGTTCATTGGATGAAAGCTGGTTGACATTACTCTGCCTCAAGCAGGAACCCTGAATGCAACTCACAAAAATCGCTAGTGAGTTAATCACCCAGCGAGCAAGCAAATGCCTTGCTGATTTTGAATGGAAATCCTTGCGCTTCCAGCACCCCGCTATTACCGTAGCATAATATGATCACAGTAGAGTGAATTAATAGTCATTGAATAATACCGTTCTTTGTCGTGTCTCGGACCTCGTGGATGTGTGAGCGATGAAATAAATAATCGCGGAAATAATAAACGAAGTGAGAATCATGACGACATATAGCACACAAATAGGCATATAAATGTAAGGATTGATGATGACTCGATCGCAACCTCCCTAAAAGGAATGGTATAATACAAACGTAAGTAGAGGTGAGGGACGTCACAAAAAAATTTGGTCCGAATTTGAATGTTGGAACTGCTCATAGCTCCTGTTTGATGAATATACACTGCGAGGCATAATTATAGATCCAACTACAAATTTCCAAAAAACTTTAATATAGGGATGTTTTTGAAAAAGCCCCTACAGAAAAATTGTAACACATATAAACTCGAATCTGAATATTAAAACGGAATCCAGTTTGAGAAAGCAGCAACTTTTATCCTCATTTTTCGAAAATACCCGCATTGCCTATAGTAGTTCCACCTCATGTTTCTCCGCTGCATTTTGCTTTCACCCAATAAAATTTTGAAATTATCACCCAATCAAGTTCCTTAGCTTATAGCAAAGAAAACCGCTGTCAGACTTCCGTAAAAGGAAAATTCTAACAAAAGAGACGCAGGAATTCTTAAAGTGTCAGCTCACGCTGGAATTTGTCGGGATGACTTTATAACGAACAAATTTCCCAAGGATGCCATAGGATATGATACGGGGAGGAGCCCTGATTACTATCCGACCGAGATAAGTGCCATATCGTGTGAAAATAATACAACTTTATCCAGCCGGGTACGGAAATCAAAACTTCTTCAAAAGAATCTCAATGAACGCGTTTTAACGCGTTTTCCAACACGCTCGTGACAGTCAATGTCTGGAAAATTAGAAATACACTTTTTGAGCAAGAGCATTTCTGTAGGTATTGACGTAACACTCCAGAGGCTCATCATCTCATACTTATAAGTATATAATAGTTGTAACTGACCGAAATAGTCATAAACGCGTTGACAGCGAATGCGATGTATCCGAGCACGATCCAAGTGACCACGGATACAATGAACACTTTCCTTCGGTTGATGATTGAATAGTAGTGGAGTGGAAATTGAATAAATATTAGTTTATCAACATTCAGCCTAAACATCATTATGAAGCAATGAGAACGTTATGTAAACAGAAAAAATATCGGGTTGGGAAGAGAGCGGAAAGACTCCTCCCGAAAGGCAGCACTATAAGAACTCCTCGTTCAATATCTTCCTCTACAGAAATTCCGCTGAAAAGTGGTTTCAAAATAATCGCTAATAAAACGCTAGTTTCTATGGGTTCCGAGAATGGTAATAGTGGAACAGGAACTCTGAAAAATCAGCTACAATAATTGAATTTATTAATTTCAAACTGGTCAAGGTCAAGCATGGTGATTAGAAGATCTTCCACATGCGACTTGTCATTCAGCTTGTTGGAGTCTGCTACTTTTCACTTTCTATCCAAAACTCACGGACGAGTTATTGTGAGTGAAAACAATTCTACTAGAAATGAGAAAAGCTGTAGAAACTCTCAATTCAAAAATAAAAATGAAAAAAGTGGATTGCTTGAAATTTTTGTGCAAAAAGCATCAACCAAGAATTAACAACCCTCCTGCGAAGGAATTAAAAAGGAAAAGAAGTGAACAGTAAAATGTACATCTGTAGAGATGGTTCTTCTTTTGTGGCTCAAAATGGGCGACAGAGTCGCTAGGAAGTTGTAAACTGAATCCGCGCACACTCAAGGTATCTGCTCGGCGGCGTCTCACTCGTCCCTTATGTTCTCTCGCCTCTCTCCGTCCAGTGCTCCTTCCACTCACTATGTCTCTCTGTCTGCCTCGTACAAGGGGATGGTGGTTATGTGGCTACGGTCTTGAAGTTGGCCATCTTGCACTGCGCAAGTTTGTGACGTTTGTCAACAACATATTACTCACCAAACTAAATTAAGGCAGCTGACAAGTTGTATAGTCCATATTGTGACGTAATAAGGATGACATAGAACCTTTGGAAAAAAGTTCAGATATGGCCTGGTAAGCATGTAGCACAAACACATGAGCAGATCGGCAAACGTCATATTGATGACGATAATCTGAAATATACTTATGTGGACGATTGTAAATCTTCGTGGTTAAGTATGAATGATTCGTTTAAAAAAATAATGTTTCAAACACACAAAAAGTCACCAATCGGCTCCATAGGAATGCGCTGCGCATACGACTTTTATTGAAAACGCGAATTTGATTCGCTTGTAACACGTAGATAAAGCCGGCGAATTTGCTGGTTTCGGTGAAATTTTGTCTTTCAGACTAACATTAGCTGCCTTTGTCGGCCTTCCATCTACTGCGTTTCATTAGTTGGATCGGGCCTCACCACAGACATCATATCCCAAAATCAGTAGCAAATGGGTGAATAATGTAGGTGCTATCTCTCCTACTAAGATCCTCTGTTGCTTGTGTCACACGGTTCTTATTCACTTATGAATTAGATCTTTTTTTATTCAATCAATGTTACTTTTCAAAATTGTTATATTTTGGCTGATCTTGAGCGTTTACATGATATGAGTACATTCAAGCCCACGCTGCCGTCATCCGACTACCATGTGACAGAGCGCGCCTGAGTAGCCACGGTTTTTTTTTCTCCTCTACCCAACCGCATATGAGGGCTTTCTCGCTTGAACTCCCAGCAGACCGATTCGACAATAGCATCCGGCAATACAGGACGAGTACGGGGCAATTCCTTTTCCTTATATGTAATAATCAAAATTTGGTACTCGTCCAGAACCGTTTACTCAGACTCACGTATATAATCTGGCAAGACGGGGTGGGGGGGCAACAGGTAGACCACTATTCGAATAGAACTAAGTCCCCACATTTCTCATCATAGGCCATAAAGCAAACCGGCGGGACCAACTACCAACTTCCAAGACTGCGACGCTGTCCCGACATAAAATGCACAGTGAGGTCGTGCCTTTCGTTTCAGTTGCCATACTTTACACCGGCGGCATGTGTGCCTTCGCGCCTAGGCGTACACCGCTCTCCCGCGTTTTCGTTCTCCTGCAGCGCTTGCTTGTCTCTCTCTCGCAGCATTTTTCCTCTAGCTCTCCTCGCAGGATTTTTCCTTCCCTCTCTCGCTCTCTTCTCATACCAGGTCCACACTCACAAGGGATATTCAATAGTTTTCATGGTGCTTTTTTCTTTCTTCTCCCTTTGCCTTAACTCATCGCACTTCTTGTCTAAAAATTGAACTAATACACCACCTCGAGCAAGCCCTGTCTTTAGGCGAGCGGAAACGGAGAAAAGCTGTTGACAGCCGTAGGACTAAAGACTCAACAACATGAATGAATTTTGCCTATATGATTTGTAAGTTTTACCTTAATGCTCAAGTAACAAAAGTAAACAATAACAGAGAAAAAACATTGTATCAAGCAGTGGCTCGAAAAGTGGTCAACACTTGCCCTAAATTTTGGTGATTCATGAGTTACTCATTATTCTTCTGGACAACACAAAGCGCTCTAAATTCTCGCTGATTTTACCCTTCTTCACAACATTTTATTATCTTTGATTTTCGATTATGCTCCAATACGGCTGTGGAGTTACTACACAGATTTAGGTCCTGACAACGTTTTTATGTTGTGGATTAACGAGCTGGCTCATGACGCTCATCACGTCACTACGATGCCAAAATAAGATACCACCTTAGAACACCGCAGTCCTTTCAGCCGTAATCACGCCAGCCGTGACACCCCTTTCGTATCTAGTTCATGAAGAATTCATATAGTTTTGCCGCCTGCATTGCCTTTCAAACAGATTACGGCACCAATTCAAATGAAACCCTTCAAACAGCTTTATGGGACGAGGTTTCAGGCCTTAAGCCCATCAGGTCTACAAATATGTATAATACAAACAGCTGATTTCACATCACCAGTCGATCTAGATGAGACAATTACAATACTACAGGGGCTCTAATCCGTTCACGTAGCCCTTTTCCCTTTTCATCCCTCACTATTTGCAGCAATACTTGAAGCTACCGGAACACATCCGCCCTTCATCCAATTTTTGCTAATTGGTCTGTTGTTAATTCTCTTTCGTTTTCCATGTAAGGTTGCTAGTATGCTGGTTGTGAACAAAACTTTCGCCCCAGGCGGGACTAGAACCTGCACCTCTCGCTTTCCGGGCATGTGCGCTACCAGTTACGCTACCGGGGTACCATTTCGACTCAGCTTCTAATGGTATACGTACTATAGCTTGTCAGCACTCACACGTATAACGTGTTGAGCCGGTTAGCCGATATCGGCAATGAACGCGAGGCTGAAAGCTTTAGCAGTGGATTTTGAAACATTCGCAAGGCGAACTGCGAGCAAAAACAGCAGTTAACAAACAAAAACAAGACAAAATCCGATGTTTGAAGAGTTTCATCTGGATTGTTTGCAGAGAAATTGCCATGAGCTGGCAGACCGCTTTATCTTGAGAACCTTACGCCGATCCCACATAACCTCATCTCACGGGCTCCCTTTTTGAAGACTCGAATGGGGATGGGATCGTCCTCACCAATATTACAGTAGCGATCAAAAGTTTGGAAATTTTTTATTTTTTATCTTAGACGCGGCCGAAACATAACGAAATTGTTTTCAATTTTAGACATTACATACAAAATCAAGTCCAATAATACGATGGAGAGGATAAATTAAGAATCTAATCATGTTCAAGAAAGAGATTTTTATAAGAACAAAAATTTTTGGAAATTTTGATTCCCTCATATATATGATTCCTACTATCAGTGTTCACCTTTGTTTCGTTATTGTGGTTAAAACCATTGAGCATTGTGTACTTCTTAAAGGATCTCAATATACAAACGAAGGCAGTTTTTTTAAGAAGTGTAGGTATCTTTTCTAAACCGCCACAAATCCGGGAACGACGAAATTGAAGCTGTTATTTTAGTAGAAATCATGTCTTTGGAGGAAGCCTTATTACGAATTCATGTATAGCGTTATTGGAGTGGCATACCATAAAAAGCCGCGATCGTTCAGAAAAAAAAGTATTACTAAGAGAAATTGGCTGTTCTACAGTGACTTCGAAAGCTTGTGGGCACGTTTCCATTGCCCCAATTTTCCAAACCAAGAGAATTTCTCTAGCTTGAGTCCTAATCGTATTGGAAAGTCTAAACGCCACAGCCAAACATCGGCCACGACCTGGGAATATCACGGATGATTCCAAAACAAAGAAAACATCCTATGAGGCTTAAAAGAGCAGGATGCCCACCGGCTTCCCACACTAACGGCCTAATATATGACCTCACTAGGGCGAGAGCGTAAAGTTAGCCTCAGCGACGTAGCAGGATTTATGTTTCCTAATAAATTGTGTCTGAACGTTGGTGAAGCGTTGTGGACCATTGTGAAGCGTTCACTCAGAATGCGACACATCACTTTCCTATACGGTCACCATCAGAAATAGGGGAAGTATTCCATGGATGGAAGATGTGTCCGACCATTCGGCGATTCCCATTTCTGATGTATCCAGCGAATATGGTGGCGGCGCTCAGTGACAGAATAGAGTAGAACTAAATGCGTTTTCTTGATAGTCAGAATAGCCAGAGAATATGGTTTTTTTTTCGTGGAAATGGCCCAGGGAGGCATATCTCCTTCACTCACTCTAAATTAATTTGAATGGGTCAACTCCGTGTCAGTAAAAACGACGATTACATGAAATGCAGGAGCGACTAGACAAAATAATTAAGTTATCATATAATTCGAGTGCGTATTTTTACGAATGCGACTGTGAAATGAGGAAGTTTTTCAACGTTTGACGCATATGCGTATAAAAATTCGTATTTTCCAAAAGGAGAATCTCGTGTCAGAAAACTTATGTTGCTTATCGTAATCTGCACTTGATTCTGCGATCGTAGATGTGAATTTGGGACAATTTCGGTGTCTAGTGGCGACAACTAGATCAAAAGAAGAAAGTTCCCAAACTTTTGACGCTTCTGTAGGATACACTAGGAGTATTGACCGCACACAAGTTTTTTTTAGGCGGTAACCTATCGAATTTTTCTAAAAACACAATATCGAAAGCATGCTTAGGCTATCCGTAGTTCATTTTTTTTATTTACATATCTTGCTTCTACTTCAATATGAATATGCGAGTCACATGTCTGCTGCTGTTTGAACGGATGTTTATTCCCATTGCAACACTCTGTACGGCCAACTGTTCGGACTGTCCTGATGAATTTAGCGGGACTTGCCGAAAACATGGTGAAATTTTCTCAACAACTGATAGATACTGCATATGCTCAAGAAAGCAGCGGACATTCGGTTGTTGAAACGCTCAGGCTTGTTTCTGACTCAAGTCAGGGATGACGACCGGGTAAAGAGATCAGCAACCAGCGTATCCAGAGTTTGAAATTAATCTTTCAAAAAGGGTATACGGAAGTTTGTCCCACATGTTTTTATCTCACTGTTTCAGAATAACAACTTCTGAAAAGCAGGGGACTCATTCATAATCATGCGACTTCTTTTACTTTTGAGGATTTCGCTTAGGTAGTGACAGCTGTAAAGGACGTTTTGCGAGTTTGATAGGATTCAGATCAGGTGGCATCAGTTTTTAGGCAGATTTTGGCATGCGTTGTTGCAACTATGCACATTATGGAAGAGCGCGATTATTTTCTCGTAATTTGATTACACTATCTGCTCGCACTCAGCTACTGTTTTTTAAAGCCTTGAGACACAACATACTCACATAGAATCTGTGCGATTTTCTTGTTCTAATTAATTCGAATTAGGGCAAAAAGGAGCAAAATCGGCTCATGAAATAAACTAGCGGAATCGGTTATGAAGTATGAAAACACATTCACGAGTACTGTCCTTTGATATGATACATATAATATGTAGTTTGGGATTCCCATGCAGAGATACGGAGAGCCTGGTAGTGAGGGTGGTCATCGGATATTGTACGTTGGTAACAAGTAGCTGAAAGATTTTATAGGACCAAAGGCGCTCAGAACTGTTGAGAAGACTGCTGCTGAACTTGGCGTAACTGATTTGTGGCTTCAAGTCACATGAGATAAGTTCAGAAGTCCGTAAAAGTCGGGCACCGCAAAAAATTGCGGTTCCACACAGTCGACTTGGGGCAGTCATCTTTGCATGGGGTCAGACACCCCGAAACCATGCCACATGACAACCCACATCGCCTCTGAAACTGCAACACTTTCAACAAACGGGTTAAACGAACTCATTGAATGTTGTCAACGAAGGACGGATTGTAACGGTTTTCATTGTTTCACAAAACAATATGCTTGAGCCGAAATATGCACATTTGAACTTCAGGGTCTGAATCCTGAAGAACTTTCCTTACAAGCTAACATTAACCTCTTGCTTCATTGACAGTGTT